TCTGATAGAGTAGCTGTAAGTGGTTAAATAAGTATTGATAATTATCATTATTATTCTCTGATATTAAAGAATATTAGTAACCCTCGCTGTGTGTACTGGAATTTCACTACAGCAGGTATAAATTAAAATAATATACAGTTCCTATAAGCTTATGGTGGGCGTTTCTACTATGTAGGTGGCAGGGGTAATTGGTCTACTGATGGTTGCAATACAACATTTAATACTACTGATGATGATCTTAGTTTCATAGCCTGCCATTGTGATCATTTGACTAATTTTGCTTGTCTTGTGGTGAGAAATTAATCACAATCACACACACTACATATACAGCTACTCACTGTCTTTTTATAGGATGTATCTGCTAGAGTCAATGAACCTACCCAACCTCCTCAATATGTCACTGTTACACTAGAAGTTGTATCAATTGTTGGTGTATGTCTCTCAATAGGTGGATTAGTACTAACAATTATCACTTTAGTTATATTCAAGTGAGCATACAATTACTGCATTTCTTATATTATAAATGTGTGCTTTTTGTAATAGGAAACTGAGGGCAAGAGAAGCTAGCAAATTTCATATTCAACTTTGCCTCTCATTAATTTTTATGCTAGCAGTATTTGTGAGTGGCATTGATAGAGTATCAGTGAGAGCTGGTTGTATAACAGTTGGTGTTCTCATTCATTACTTTGCTCTTGTTGCTTGGATGTGGATGGGAGCCGAGGCTTTACTAATGTTTCAAAAACTAGTGATTGTATTCACAGACATAACATGGAAATATTTAGTTGGTATCTCATTGATATGCTGGAGTAAGAATATGATGGTATAACAATGATTTTTTATGTTTTATTAGCTCTACCACTCTTGCCAGTTATAATCACATTAGCAGTTGATGTTGATTTCTATATTTATTTATATGAACCAGAAAACCAGTCTGGATTGTAAGTGGCAGTGTATTTATTTTGCATTATGCTTTATTGAATTTTTCTTCATTAGCTGTTTCATTAGTGACATGATCCCTTTTTTTGCTGCTTTTCTACTTCCAGTCTTCATCATACTTATCTTCAACGTTATCATATACGTCATCATTATTCGTGTTCTTATTCTCCACACTATTCGTAAGAACAAGAGAATGAGTAAGTCTTCCTTCAAAACATCTGACGCAATAAAAATGATACTATCATACTCTGGTATTTTGATACTGTTCGGCCTCACGTGGGTATCTGCTGTCTTCACATTCATTTCTGAGCCTAACACTTCATTCATAGTTCAGTTCTTCTTTGCTTTCTTCAATGCTTTTCAAGGTTTTTTTATATTCTTCTTTTTTATCATCCTGAGCAGTGATTCAAGAGATGCTTGGAGATCGCTTCTCTGCCCTGGGACTCTTCGAGATGAAATGAAACCACAGACATCCACAACTCTTAAGAGCAAAACTTTAAATAGCAAAACCATGTCACTGCAAAAGAAAAACGTACCAAGAAATGCAATTTTAAGCTTTGGAGGAAAAAATATGCCCAATGAAAAACAGACAGATTTTACTGATAATATAATATTTGAGAATGAGGCAAATTTTGAAGACGAAGTATTTTCTATTGATGATGAGTTCATGATGTCCGAGTTTAATAATATTCGTTTTGATCGTCAACTTTCTGCTCGACGTAAGCACCTTGTGGAGAAAATTGAGATCGACTTTTTTGATGTTGCTAAAGATGATTGAAATAGTGAGGCATAAACATTTTCTTTTTAATAATTAGCTATAGTTATTTAATCTAATTTGAGACATTTGCATGTTTAAACATAGATTATGAAAATAAAACTTAATACCTGTTAATGCACTTTCCATTGCTGTTAGGAATTGTCCTGTTCGTCTAATTTGTCTGTAGTCATCAATTTTATATTTTTTATAGTTTTTTTGCTGACTTAGTTAAATAGATCAATGTGTGTTATAATATATTTGTGTGATACATGATATTTAACTAACATGATACTTTTGACAAAAATTTATGGTTTTAGTGTTATTTTTTACAA